AAAAAAAAAAAAAAAAAAAAAATTCACACTTCTGGCTCAGCTATTCAAATAACTGGAACTTATGCCACAGACACAGTCCCGCGTGTGGAACACAGCACATGCACTATAAATACCAGCCATCTGAGATGGACAGTGGTAATGCCACAGAATTATCATCAAAAAATAATTAAAATGATAAATTTATAGAATCACTATATTAATAAGAGAGAAAAATGCCAACATTGTGATATGTACATGCAATCCCAGCTATTCAGGAGGCTGATGCAGGAGGATCGTCTGAGCATGACTCAAGGTCCCCTCAAGGTTGTCTGCTTGAGCAACACAGGAAATAGAGAAACCCCATCTTACCAGTGTCCCAACATATTAACATGTAAAAAACTGAAATTATCATTCCTCCCAGTCAAATTCCAACCCAAATTTCCCCATTTCAGTCAAAGGAATATCATAAAGTGTGAAGGTGAAAATATTTGTATACTGTCTGGTTCCTCTCATTTCTTTAACTCCTAGATCTCTTATCTAAGTTCCAGAAGTTCTTCACATTATTCATACTTTTTTCTCCCCTACTTTAATACATTGGGTTACCCACGGACAACAGGCTGCTTGCAGTCCTGGGGACAGGACGCAGGGCCTACACATGCTAGCCAAGCACTCCACCAGTGAGCTACTCCTCAGCCCAGCTTCCGCAACTTCTAAGATCTTAAACTGATACTACATGAGTTTATTTATCTTAACTGTTTAAACATAAGTATATGTAGTATCCATTAAAAATGGGTTTAAACTGTTAATTAGTATAGAAATAACACTAACCCACCATAAAGGTCTATGATCAAAATAACTGCTTAAATTTTACAAAAACCCTCTTTATGTTGTTCACTGACTTTCTACTACATCACCAGCCTTCCGATGGTCAGTGAGCATTCTACACTCACCTTTGTATGGTATTCCATGGCATCCAATTCACCTTGATTGAAAGCAACACTTCTCTTACGCTTCTAAAGAACAGATAAATTAAAGGGAAGAAGTTATGTTGTCATCTATTACAATACTGATATTTTTAAATTTACCAATACTTAATATTTTTCACATTTCCTACATTGTGTATCTCCATCTTTAAAGGTAATAACTGGACTGGGGAGATAGCTCAGTGGCACAGGCGCCTGCCTGTGGCAAGCACAAGATGCTGAGTTTGATTCCTGGCACTAAAAAAAACAAACAAACAAAACTTAAAAGTCTCCTTTAAGAGACAAAAATTTCCACTGAGGTCAAAATCAGTACAAAAGTATATATTGATTTGTGTGTGCGTGTGTGTGGCCAGCTCAGCCCACCAGGGGGCGAGGCTGGCTGGCATGTGGTGCTGGGGGATTGAACTGCGGTCCCTGTGCTTTGCTAAGCTTGTTCCAAGTAGGTGCTTTAGACCACTGAGCCATCTCACCAGCCCAGTACAAAAGTATAGATTAAGGAGGTCACATCCCCAAAGTTAAGTGGGGAGAAGGTGTAAAGTCATCTTGGCCTGTCTATTCCTAAGAACTAGTTTACATGATAAAATGCAGCACTGACAAACAAGACACAGGTACTACAATTCTGCATGAACATGACCCAATACGGTATCACACGTCAGCTCATATACACGATAGTTCTCAACTTTCATTCCCAAAAAGAGGCTATCCATAGGTTATCAAAGAAAATTCCACTGTACTTTTAATATCATTACTTTATAACTGATCTGAGGATTAAGTACCAATTGGTTGTTTTTTGGGAGGTATGGAACCAGGGTTTATGAGCTCAGGTCCTTCTACTGAGTCATTTCCCCGACCCCCTCAAATCAATGTTAACATGCTACCAAATCACTAGCTGACTAAAAGAAAAGTCTGCTGGCTGAACAGTGTAAGTTTTGGGGGGTTTTTGCTTTTTGGGGTTTTTTTCATACTGGGGATCAAGCAAGACCTTGTGCTTACCAGGCAGGTGCTTATCCTGTGAGCTATATCCCCAACCCTGAATAAACAAATGAATTTAAGAATATATTAAAAATATAATTTGCTTTTGCATACAAGAAATAAGGTAAGGGAGAGTCACATGGAGAGAAAAAACATTTTCTCAAGCTTTCACAGAGAGCAAATTGGTCAAGCAATGGCCGTGACTCATCCTCAGGTCAGACACTGACAAAAGGATGTACAAAAGGCGGTACAGGGCTACAGGATAAATCCTGAGAGTACGTGGCTGAGAGTACTTATCAGATACAAAAGTTACATTTCTTGGTATATAGGTCTTGCTACATCTTGGTCTTAACCATCCAGCAGAAAACTATAAAAACGAGGTATATAAAGTAAATCCATATTAATACAATGAGCTGTAAAAGGCTCAAGTCAATAACTTCTGAGGATAACCCACTAATATTATAGACTGCTAGACAGTGTTAGATTGTTCAGTTGAACTCAAAACCTATAGTATTTAGATGTCAATAGAATATTCACCTCTGACAGGACAAAAAAAAAAAGGGGGGGATACAAAGGAAAGATCATTTTGTATTTATATATACAAAATAGGATAAATTTACAGCTACTTTCGCTTAACTCAATGAGAAGAAAGAGGTGTACTAACAGTGTTTGGACAGAATATCCTGTCTGCTTCTTGTACTATGGATAACCACTAAGAAGATAACAATGTACAGTGTATTGACTATCAAAACTGTCCTATTAATCAGCTGTGAAACTGTCTCATTCATATTTATTTCTCAATAAAAAAATATATAAAAAAGAAGCTAAGTTTTGTCAAGATAACATTCGTTATGTTCATCTATAGTTCATATTCATACTGTACACAGACTTTTATAGGTGATTATTCATCTGAATCAGCAACAATAACATATTACATACATTTTACCAAAATGTCAAAAAATTCTATATATTTTTTGTGTCTGACACAGATGGTCAATAAATACTTACTGAAAAGAAAAAATATGCACCAAAGAACAATCATAAGAACATTACAAGCAGCTGGGGAAATGGTTCAGTAGAATAAGTGCTTCCCTGGCAAGTGCAAGGGCCTGAGTTCAATCCCTGGTTCCGAAAAAAAAAAAAAAACCCAGAACATTAAAAGCTCTACTTTAAAAACCTATGTCAATGTAGTGAACTATCTGATAATTTCCTTTTCTGATTGTCTTAATTTCTTTCTTTTACACTCAGTTGTAAAATATATGAGGGCAGGGTAGAGTTTATCTTGTTTCATCACTCTGCATGCAAAAGCACACAGAACAAGCTCAAACATTTTGTGATACTATTCCTACCACAACAACAGACAATATTGATAATTTATGTAAAATGGGTTTGTGCAGTCATTTCTGATCTCTTAAAATATACAAAAAAGGGGCCAGGGAGATGGCTCAGCAGAATAAGCACTTCACTGGCAAGCACAAGGGCCTGAGTTCAATCCCTGGTTCCGCAAAAAAAATAAAATAAAATATACAAAAAGGATTAAAGAAAAAGTAATTTGATATTGCATGACATTCTCAAACTTTAATAAGGT